AAAAGAGATGAGGTCTCACTATATTACCCAGGCTGGTCTCAAACTCCAGGCCTCAAGTGATCCTCCCACCTTGGCCTCCCAATATGCTGGGAGTATAGGCCTGAGCCACCATGCCCAGCCTTTAACAGCTTTTTTTTTCTTTTTCATTTAACTTATTATTTTTTATTTTTTTTGAGACGGAGTCTTGCTCTGTAGCCCGGGCTGGAGTACAGTGGCCGGATCTCAGCTCACTGCAAGCTTTGCCTCCCGGGTTTATGCCATTCTCCTGCCTCAGCCTCCGGAGTAGCTGGGACTACAGGCGCCCGCCACCTCTCCTGGCTAGTTTTTTGTATTTTTAGTAGAGACGGGGTTTCACGGTGTTAGCCAGGATGGTCTCGATCTCCTGACCTCGTGATCCACCCGTCTCGGCCTCCCAAAGTGCTGGGATTACAGGCTTGAGCCACCGCGCCCGGCCAACTTATTATTATTTTTTAAATCAGGCAGCCTCCCGAGCCAGAATAGGCTCAGAGAGACTCCCAAACTGCTTTAAAAAAAAAAAATTGACTCAGTGCCAGGCCTAGTGTAAGCACATGACGTATATGATATTATTAAATCCTAAGAATTCATCATATTATCCCCATTTTCATCTAAGGAAACAATCTGAGCAAGAAGTGACTTCACCAAGGTCATGGAGTCTTAGAAAATGACCAAGCCAGGAGCCAAACACACTTCTCTGCAATTCCAACCAATGCAGCCTGTGCTGCTGATCCCTTGGCAGGACTCTGCCTCCCAAGGGGACCATGGTGGAGCAAGCAGGTGGTGATGGCGGAGGGTCCTGCTGGCCTTTGAAAGCAGGAGAACCCTTGCCCGTGGGCTGGGCCAGGAGCTGCAGCATCTGCCATGCTGGGAAATTGTGGAGAAGCCCTCCTTTGCCCCCACTGCATCCCCACCTGACAGGGAAGGAAGCTTTGATGCTGTTTTCTCGCCCACAGGGGACTGGGGTGTGTAAAACAAACTCACAGCCTGCAGGAAAACAGATCCTGGAACAGCCCAAACAGAGAGGCAGGAGCTGTTTGCTCTGGCCCAAAGCCCCTGCCTCCCTGCTCAGTCTCAGATGTGTGCCTCCACCTTGGCATTCTGTCTGGGCTTCCTGTCAGTCTCTGCTCTCTCTCCATCCTCACTGTGAATCTTGCAGGGCTGCAGTTGCCTTGGTAACATGATGGGAAGCTCTTGAGGTTTTCTGGAACCAGAGAAGGCTGTGGAGGGAGGACTCAGGCTCTGTTGGGCTGCTTGTCACAAAGGGAAGAAACTACTCCAGTGCTCCCTGCCCCTGCCAGCCAGTCCTTCCTTGGGTCTGACCTCAACCTCTTCTATTGCATCTACAGGAGCTTTGTTTGGGTGGCCTTTGGGGCTGGGCCTGAGAGGACGGAGCTGTCACATACTGCTCTGTCCTTGGAGTTGACTGCCACTGTCACCAGAGCTAAATTCCCGTTTGCTTCCATGACCTGGCCCTGTAGCCCTAATTGGTTTTATGAAGTTCAATGCCTGTTTTTTATGAGACAGATAATTACGGTGCGGGGAGGTCAGGTCCTCCTCTCCTGGACCTGGCGGGGTCTCCAGAATTGCTGATTCTTCAATTGGCTCCAAGCAGGCTGATGGGATCAGGGTGAGCCGGGTGCAGTCAGGCCGCGGAAGGAGAGCGAGTCTCCACCTTCCAGTTTCTGACGGGATCAGGGAGGAAAACGTGCACCGCCTGCCCCGTGAAGAAGCCCACGCCTGTGAAGTGGGCACCCGTGATGCCGTCTCTTATGGGTATGAGGGATAATAGGCAGTGGGGTGGGAGGGGGAGCTCTTTCAGGCTAGAGGAATCCAACATGGGGTTGCCTGTGGCTGCGCGAAGAAATCCTCAATCTTTGACACTACGGGCACCCCGTGAAGATGTTTTTTACTCCGTCTCTCCTTCTAGTCTTCTTCCTTTCCTTTATTCCACAGTCTCAGTTCGAAATATGGCCTATTTCCTCCCTATGTCTATGTCAGTTTCCGTAACTGGTCTCTCTCCCTCCCCCGCAATTCCCCCCTGCCACCCTCCCCAGGTGAGAGTTCACTTGCTGTGTCCTGGAGGGCAGTTCTAGAAGGGTGGTGATGGAGGGGTGGGCAGGGCAAGCTGTTCTGCTGACCCTGGATGGCTCCCCTCCAATCCTCCTGGCCAGGAAGACCGGGGCAGGTAGAGGCTTCTGTGCTTCGCTCCAGGCTGGGAGCAGCTGTCCACAATTGTGCCTCCTAGATAGGGTGAGAGGTTAGCCCCATCCCTAGAACAGGCCACACAGCTGTGTGCCCTGTGTGTTCGGCCCACTCATGGCAGACACAGACCTGCACTTTCAGACTAAGCCTGTTGCTGGGTGTGGCTGTGGGACAGGATGACCTCAGGAAGACCCTTACCCACTCCATGATTACCAAGCTCCCAGCTTCCCTTGCTTTCTGACTCAGTGGCCAACGCCTCAGGAGTTGCCTTCTCTTTAGAGGAAGGCCAATCTTGCAGGAAAGAAGGGAGGAGTGAGACTGGGGCCCAGGTCCAAAGGGCCTGGGGTCCCTGACTACAGAGGCCAGCTCCTTTCTACCCCTCCTCCATTTAATTAGCTAATGTCTGTAAAGGGCTGGGCAATGGAAAAGCCCTATACAAATGTTGAGCACAATTTCATTTCCAAGACTAGACAAGAATATATTTGCAGACTTGAGCAAAAGGTCACTGGGCCTGCCTGGGACAGAAGGAGGACTCCCTGCAGGCCCCGGAGGGAGGACGCCCCCTGAAAGACTGGGGCAGGAGAAGGAGAGGCCATGGGAGGGGCCCGGCATGCCTGTCTCCTTGGTCTTTAAACTGGGTCTCTTGGTACCACGCCTGCTTTGCACTGTCCCCTGTTCCTTCTGAATCCCAGGGTCCTAGAAACTGACCCCTCTCTGCAGGGACCACCCTCAGAGACTTTTTGCACCAGAAGATTATGCTAATATCCACAACAGCTGATATTTATTGAATATTCACTGCATGCCGGCCTGTGCTAAAGGGGCTGGAGCGCTCCGGCTTGGGGAGAGGTGGCTGCCTCTCTGCAGCAGGCGAAGGAGCTTTTCCAGTGCGGGGAGCCCCGTGCCCGCTGCAGGCTCTGCTTGAAATCTTTCCAAAATCTTTGGGAGGTGGGTATCACTTATCTTCTCTGACCAATGAGAACAGTTCCTGGTTTTGTGATCTCCCAAGTCCCTGGTGTGGATGTTCTGTGAGCTTCTGAATTCTCCTCTCCTTTCCCCACTGACAACTCTCCTGGCCCTACATTCATTATGAAAGAATATTGAGGCCAATTAGCCTTGACAAGCTCCATGCCCAAGGGGCAGCTTTACAGTTTCTGGTGCTTCAAGACCTGCTCAGGCCACCTATGTGTCTCTGCCCACTCAGAATTCTAGGAGCAGCTCCCGCTCCATCTCTGGGCAGGACCTGGCTTTGGGTCAGGGCTAGGGGGGAATAGCCAGCCTTAGCCTCACAGACCCATAGTCAAAGGGAGTGCTTTGGGAGGGCGAGAGGAATAGCAAAGCAGGGAATGGCGGGTTCAGGAAGAGGCAGGAGGGACAGGGAAGGGAAATGGAGAATGTGTTTCCAACATCCCCTGGGTTTCCTCTGTCCCTGTCTCCTTCCCCCGCTGAAAGCTGAATGGAGCTGGCTGGCCTTTCTGGGAGGCATAGTCCTCTAGGCTCCCAACCCTGCCAGCCTCCTCTCTGTCCCCAGTTGCTCCCTCTCTGGCTTCTCTCCAGAGCCCAGGGCTTCCCTGTGTCATCAGTTCATTATCATTCTGATAAAAGTCATTAGTCCTTGAAAAAGCATGACTCCCCAGCTGAGGCCAGCCCCCTCTAACCTGGGGAGGAATACAGATGGATGGAGATGTGGGGGTGGGGACAGACAGAGGCACAAACACAATGACACTTGTTTCCAGGGGGTGTGTAAATGGACACAAACCCACTGGCGCACACGGCGACACACCTTTATACACAGGCCCAGGGATGTCTCACGTGGTCACCAGAGAGCCCACAGGGCTACATCACTGGACCTGTGCTCAGCTGCTTCCAGTCCCAGAGAATCACTCAAACTGAGACCCAGCACCCAGCAGCCTCAGCCTCCTGGAAACACAGAGGCCCGGCTCGGCAGACTCTGGGGGCGGGGGCAGGGAGTGGAATAGGGAGGCCAAGGTTAGAGATCTCGAGTTCCATTAGCCACAAGAAGCGTGTCTGGAATCTAAAAGTGCAGGGACAAGGGCGCTGCAGAGCCGGTTCCTGACAGTGCAACCCCGTTTCCCACCCCTTCCACCACCAGGAAGCTCCTCCCTGTCAGCAAAGCCATTTAGGGATTAGAGCAGCTCTCTCAGTAAAAGCTGCTTATTCAAAAGGTGCTTTCAGTTCATTTGCATTCACTTCATGGATAGTATAATGCTTGGAGGAGCTTCCTCCTCAGTCCCTCTTTGCTGTCCCCAGGTTGAGTCCCTGGCCCATGCAAGGTATCAGTTTGGGCTGGGCCAAGCTTTCCAGCGACCTGGGGATCTTGTCAGGGAGTGGGAGGTGATAAACACTGGCCATTAACCCCTGGTCCTCAGAAGGCAGCTCCAGGGACAGCTAGGAGGGGTCACAACTGGAGTGTTTCCAAGGGAGAGGAAGGGGCCCAAGGTCTGGAGAGGCCTCTCAATTCCCCCGGGGTCGTGAGCCTGGTCTCCTTGGGAAGGAGCTGCCCAGCTGCTGTCTGCAGATGGGGCTGCCACAGGGGAGCAGGCACAGTCAGCCTCAGCTTTGAAGGCCTTCTCTTTGGCAGCCACCCCACCCCGGCTCCATGCATTCAGTTCATTCAAAGAGTATATAACTAACACCGTGATGTGTGAAGCTTGATGCTAAGTCACTGGAATACAGTATTGACTAGGCAATGTGGCCCCTGCCTTCACAGAGATTCCAGTCCAGGAGTGAAAAGCCACAAAAAATGAAGACACTAGACAATATAGAATATTATGAATCATAACTAGTACTACAAAGTGAACAAACAGGGTGCTAAGATAGAAAGTAATAGGTCAGGGCCGGGGGGCCTTCTTCAGGTGGGGTAATCGGCAAATGGTGGTGACATAACACACCTGCAGTTGAGGCTGCAGGGAGCCAGCTTCGTGCCACTACACTCCAGCTGGGGTGACTGTCTCCTAAAAAAAAAAAAAGGAAGAAAGAAAAAATTTATTTCTGTGTGTGTGTGTGTGTGTGTGTGTGTGTGTGTGTGTGTTTTTGAGACAGAGTCTTGATCTGTCGCTCAGGCTGGAGTGCAGTGGCGTGATCTCGGGTCACTGCAACCTCCTCCTCCAGGTTTCAGGATATTCTCCAGCCTCAGCCTCCCAAGTAGCTGGGATTGCAGGCACGTGACACCATGCCTCACTAATTTTTGTATTTTTCGTAGAGACAGGGTTTCACCAGGTGATACGCCTGTCTTGGTCTCCCAAAGTGCTGGGATTACAGGCATGAGCCACAATGCCTGGCCAAGAATTTCTTTCTTGATTTGTCCTTTCATCATCTCAAAGGTGCATCGTGGGATTTCCCATCCCAGCTCGGGGAAAGGCATGGCTGTGCCTCTTCATCTCCAGATCAGCCTATGGGGAGGCTGCTGTCTTCTGGACACTCTAGTGAACCCGCTCACCTGCCTGCTCTGGCACATCTGACAAAGCTGGAAAAAAGTTGTCATTTTCGGGGAGGGGTCAGTTTCAGTGCCTTCCCACCAATTGGTCCGGAGCATATCCGCAGTTCTGTACACTGGGGAGTGTCCACTTCAGGCCTGGCTGAGTCAGGTAGATCCAGAGCTGCCCACCCCTCTCCCCAGGCCAGGGCACCAGAGACCCTAGAGCCAATTCCAGCTTCCCTGCTGCTCCTCTCACCATCAATCAGGGGCTGGGATGTCAGAATCAGGACTGGGGGAAGCAGGCCATTCACATCCTGAACCACCCCCCAGAGACATAGGAATATGAGGCGAGGATCCTGAGTGCGAACATTTACAGGTAGCATTCAGGATTGAAAACTGATTTATAATCTGAAGGCAGGCAGGAGGGAGCGGGAGGAAGGTGGGAGCTCTGTGTACAGTGCAGCCTTGTGGGGTGGCGGTAATTATATATTACATTGAACTGTCCTTGCAGCACGGTGAAGGGCGGTGGGAATGAGACTCTAAATCACGCTTCTGTGATGCTCCCCATAGCTCACCTCCCTGTATGTGGCCCCAGAGCCCAGGGCTGACACTTCTCCTTTCTCCCCAGCCCCAGCACCACCCCCCTGTCCCCACCATCTCTCTCACACACACACACACACAGAGCCCAGTGGCAGGGCCAGCCTGACTGACTGGGGGAGAGCAGGAAGATGGGATGTTAGCAACTCTGGCAGCTTCCAGGGGCTGCTCATCCTGCAGGCCTCATTGTTTATTGCCCTCCCCACCACCCCACCACCGCCAGCACTTCCCACTGTCTACCCCGCTTCTTCCACTGGGGCCTGTATGTGGGCTGTGTCATTTGAAGAAGACATGCCTATTCTCCCTTCATTCATTCTCCCCTGTAGCATCTCTCTTCTCTATACCACAGCCACACAGCCACCACCTTGGTTCAAGTGGGGCCTCATCACTTCTCACCTGAATTTCTGCCACCATCTCCTAACCAGTCTCCCTCTAGCACACCCCTGCTCCTAGTCCATCATCCTTTACCTTGTTGCCATGGTAATCTCCCTAAACACACTTCTGACCATAATCTTGATCTCGTTGGTCTGGGAAGTGGGGATTGTCCCTGCTGATACAATAGTTTCGTGCTCGTGAGCTATTATTATTATTATATATTTTTGAGATATTATTGAGATATTATTATATATTATTATATATTTCCAGCTTCTTTAAGAAGTCTCCCCGGGCTCTAGGCGGGCTGGTGCCTGCTGGCTCACCTCCTGCCCTGTGCTTTCGGTCCAGGAGGAACACTGGTACTCATCTGTCCTGAGGGGCCATTTCCAAGACTAGACTCTGATCCTTATGGTCAGTCACCTGGACTTCCCACCAGTCTCCTGCCCCTCCCTCTAGGCTTTGAGTTTCTGGTTCAGAGGACGTGTTAGCGCTTAGTGGTGATGAGAAACGGGTCAGACGGCTCAGGACTTGAAGTCTAGCCCATGACTGTGCACAAGGTTTTGGAGTGGCGTACTGATTGAGAGCGAGGACTCAGCTGCCAGACTGTTTGAGTTCGGATCTTGGCTGGGCTACTCTTGAGTTTGGCTAACCTCTCTGTGCAGTTTCCCTGTTTCTAAAATGAAGATAATAATTGTACCCACCTCATAGAATTGTTGTGCAGATTCAATGAGTGAACATACGGGATTGTTCCAGCTGATAAAATAGCTTTGTGCTTTTGAACTATTATTATTGTAATTAGACTCCTCTGAGCCTCAGTTTACTTGTCTGTAACAAATCTCCATAATACCTTTCCTTCCTGCTTCAGGGTATTGTGAAGCTCAAATGACACATTCCCTTTGGAAACTCTTAAAGGCTTTACAAAGGTAAGATATTATCATTATTTATTATCAGGTACTTGTTCCTTGGGGTTTTCCGCCACATTCCCTTTAGAAACAAAGCAGTTTCCTTCACCCTCCTCTTACCCCAGTCTCAAGGCAGAAAATCGTGGTGTCTTGGAGACAGGAGCAGCCATGGGGCCCCCTCCACCTAGGCAAAGGGGCGCATAAGGCTGTGCATACAGACACATCTCTGATAGAGATTATTGCAAAGGAGGCTGCTAATTAAACCAAGAACAGAGAGCTTGTCAACATTTTACACAATTATCCCCTTCACTGCAGAGGTGAACCCAGGTTTTGTGGGGCCCAAAGCTTGTACAATTTGGGGGGCCCTCTTTAAGAAAAAAAATACAAGATGATGAACATGAATTAAGTGCAGGGTTTGGAAGGGGCCTGTACAAATGAGGAGCACTGCCCCCCAAGCTTCATTAGCTTCCCAGAAAATCCACCTCTGCCACCAGGCCAGGTATGCATTTGATAAGGACTTGTCAGTTAGTTGCTTATGGCCAAAACAAACCATTTTTTACCAACCACTGACAGGCCAGGATCTCTAGAGGACAGGAGTGCACAGCCTGCACCCAGACTCCAGAAGTTACCCCGTTACTAGGCTGTGCCTCCTCCACTGCCTTCACCTCAGTCTAATTGTTCCTTTTTCAAGACCCACCATCTATTTATTTTTGCTTTCAATACATTTGCATGTGATTTACATAGCGTTAATATTCAGCCTCATGTTGGGAACTCTTCCTCTGCCCTGGCTTAAGCTAGATTCCTGGGACTTGGTTACCAAGTGAGATGTAACTTTCTCTCTTCTCAAAATGTAGAGGGAAAGAAATATACATCTAATTTGGGGGAGGGTGGGAGAAGGGACAATGATGACATTTGTCTCGGAGTCAGTTTCTAGTCTCTGGCCCTCCTAGTCTATGTCTTTCTCCATATACCCCCACTGTCCCTACTCACAGCCCACAACCCAATTCCACCTCAGTTTTCTTCTGATTATGAAATTGGAAGCGCACCTTCTCAAGGACACATGTGCCTACCCAAATGCTGGGCTCACTGGGGCTCAAGGGTGCAGCCTCTGAAGTCAAGAGGCACATGGCATCGAGGTGCCAGCAGACAAGAGCACACAGGGGTTCTTCCTCAGGTCCCCATCTGGGAGAATCAGCCCCTTCCAGTCCCCCTGCACAGTTCGGAGGCCCGGTTTATGTGATTCCCCCAACTGACGGAAACAGATGGCAGGTGGGAGTATGTGTGAGTGTGAGTGAGGGTGTGTGTGTGTGTGTGTGCATGCACGTGAGCTGTACATACATAAAAGAAATGTGCACACATGTGTGAGACAGAGAATGCCCACGTGCACATGAGTATACCCACCCCCACCGCAAGACAGGCAGAGGAGGAGGAGGAGGTGAGGATGTGGGAAGGAAATTCTTGGTTTAAAAAAACCACATTGTGGTTCTAAATGTCATCAAAGGTGAAACTTGGTTCCTTAGCCCTGCCCTATAAAGGGAGGTGAAAAGAAGTCAGCAAGGCAAGAAAAGGTCTCAGGGCAGGGATGGGGCAGCCCTAGTGTCAACAGTGACATCACTCTCCCAGACCCCTCCGCTGAGTGATGAGTCACCAGAGCCCAATCAATACCAGTCTTTACGCAGTCATGAGCTGGCTCATGCTTCCATCTCCACGTGGCCCAGGCCTCACCCCCATGGTCCGCTGAGCCTCAGCTACCCCAGCCCTGGGGCTTTGCTCTCTTTTAAGCCTCCATCAGAGAAGGCAGGGGTCCCTTCTCTGGGTAAGGCAATCAGAGACATAAATGAGAAGAGAGACAGGAGAAACACAGACTCTTCTGTATGTGAAGGGGGTTTGGGAACAGAAGTTGAAAACTTGCAAAGCGAGTCTGAAGAAGAGGCAGAAAAAAGAGAATGGAAAAGAGAGTGAGAAGAGAAAGAAGAAACAGGAAACTTGGGTTGAAGAAAACAAGAAAAGAGCCGGGCTCGGTGGCTCACGCCTGTAATCCCAGCACTTTGGGAGGCTGAGGTGGGTGGATCACGAGGTCAGGAGTTTAAGACCAGCCTGACCAACATGGAGAAACCCCATCTCTACTAAAAATACACAAATTAGCTGGGGGTGGTGGCGGGCGCCTGTAATCCCAGCTACTCGGGAGACTGAGGCAGAAGAATTGCTTGTACCCCGGAGGTGGAGGTTGCAGTGAGCCGAGATCGCATCATTGCGCCTCAGCCTGGGTGACAGAGCAAGACTCTCTCTCGGCGAGGGGGGCGGGGGGAGAAGAAGAAGAAAAGAAGAAGAAATGGGGTGAGGGAAAGCCGACAGCTGTGAATTCTCACTCTCAGGATTTTAGGACTGCTACTTCATTTTCCTGGCCCTCCAATCTTTTATGGGTCCCCCAGGTCTAGTGATGTAGGAGGAAGCCCAATACTGTAACCAGCACCTCTAGGAGAGGACTCCCAGTGTCTATGGTATCATCACCACCTACCCTGACACATCTCAGCTTGGTCCCACCCTCCTTGTCAGAGATAGGGGTTGGAGGGATTAGACATCGGTTGGGGGAGCAGTTGTGGTGGCTCACGTCTGTAATCCCAGCACTTTGGGAACCTGAGGTAGGAGGATTACTTGAGGC